GCTTTGAAAGGCAGCAGATCACAGGAGCTGTCTTCATAGACCTGTCAGCGGCTTATGAGACTGTAAACCACCGCCTCCTCCTGAGAAAAATGTAGAATATCACAAAGGACGACCATCTCACTCACTTCATAGGAAACCTGCTACAAAACAGGAGCTTTTTTGTTGAGTACCAGGGCCAGAGAAGCAGATGGCGGAAACAGAAGAACGGCCTGCCTCAGGGGAGCGTGCTTGCTCCATCCATGTTCAACATCTACACAAATGACCAGCCACTGCCAGAAGGGACAGAGAGCTTCATCTATGCTGATGATCGTGCCATCACCACAAGCATCCCGAGCTCTGAGGATGACCTGGGAGGGAATCCCACTGGAGCATTGCAGCGCACCCAAATACCTGGGAGTCACTTCTGTTCTCTTCAACCACCTCAAAGCTCCCGGAAGGAAGGAAGGAAGGAAGGAAGGAAGGAAGGAAGGAAGGAAGGAAGGAAGGAGAAAGAGACAGAAGGAAAGAGGGAGGAAAGGAAGGACGAAAGGACAGAGGATAAAAAGGATGAAGATAGAAAGAGATAGGTAAGGAAGGGAGGGAGAGAGGAAAGAGAGAAGGAAGGAAAGACAAAAGGGAAGGAAGGAAAGAGAAAGGGAAGGAGGAAGGAAGACCGAAAGGGTGGAAAGGAAGGAAGGGTGGAAGAAGAAAGAGAGGGGGGAAGGAGGGAAGAATGGAAGGAGGAAAGAAAGAGAGAGGGAAGGAAGGAAGGATAGGATGGTGTGAGCTGCATTCTGAGAGTGCGAGTGAGTAGCTTTTCTAAGCCTAGCCATATTGTAAGAAATGAGCTGCTTTTCAAATCAAAGAGGAATGCAACTCACGAAAAGCTTTGTACTATTCCCCCGCCACCTGCCTCTTCTGATCCCATTAATTAGCATCCCCACAACAGACACAATACGCATTTTCTAAACACAAAAGCCTGCACTTCAAATGCAAGAGGCTGCATCTAAATTCGAGACATGCTCAATCCTCAATTTGCATATTGCGTATATGTGTGTGCTTGTCTATATTCATATTTGTGTGTATATATGTAAAAGGATATATAGATTATATATAGATTAATGTTTTGTCGTGAGTACCTTAAAAACAAAAGAAGCATTGAACAAAATCACACCAAATTTGGCAACAAAACGTCTCACAACACAAGGAGTGACCATCACTCAAAAAATTATGATTTTGTCATTTGGGAGTTGTAGTTGCTGGGATTTATAGTTCACCTATAATCAAAGAGCATTCTGAACTTCATCAACGATGGAATAGTACCAAACTTGGCACACAGAACTCACATGACCAACAGGAAATACTGGAAGGGTTTGGTGGGCATTGACCTTGGGAGTTATAGTTCACCTACATCCAGAGATCACTGTGGACTCAAACAATGATGGAGCTGGACCAAACTTGGCACAAGCACTCACTATGCCTAAATATGAATACAGATGGAGTTTGGGGAAAATAGACCTTGACATTTGGGCGTTGTAGTTTCTGGGATTTATAGTTCACCTACAATCAAAGAGCATTCTGAACCCCACCAACAATTGAATTGGACTAAACTTGGCACACAGTTCTCCCATGACCAACAGAAAATACTGGAAGGGTTAGGTGGCCAGCGTCCTTTGGTTTTGGAGTTGTAGTTCACCTACATCCAGAGAACACTGTGGACTCAAACAATGATAGATCTGGACCAAACTCTACAAGAATACTCAATATGCCCAAATGTGAACACTGTGGAGTTTGGGGAAAATAGAATCTTGACATTTGGGAGTTGTAGTTGCTGGGATTTATAGTTCACCTACAATCAAAGAGCATTCTGAACCCCACCAACAATTGAATTGGACTAAACTTGGCACACAGTTCTCCCATGACCAACAGAAAATACTGGAAGGGTTAGGTGGCCAGCGTCCTTTGGTTTTGGAGTTGTAGTTCACCTACATCCAGAGATTACTGTGGACTCAAGCAGTGATGGATCTGGACCAAACTTGACACAAATACTCAATATGCCCAAATGTGAACACTGGAGGAGTTTGGGGAAAATAGAATCTTGACATTTGGGAGTTGTACTTGCTAGGATTTATAGTTCACCTACAATCACAGAGCATTCCGAACCCCACCAACAATTGAATTGGACTAAACTTGGCACACAGTTCTCCCATGACCAACAGAAAATACTGGAAGGGTTAGGTGGCCAGCGTCCTTTGGTTTTGGAGTTGTAGTTCACCTACATCCAGAGATTACTGTGGACTCAAGCAGTGATGGATCTGGACCAAACTTGACACAAATACTCAATATGCCCAAATGTGAACACTGGAGGAGTTTGGGGAAAATAGAATCTTGACATTTGGGAGTTGTACTTGCTAGGATTTATAGTTCACCTACAATCACAGAGCATTCCGAACCCCACCAGTGATAGAATTGGGCCAAACTCCCACACAGAACCCCCATGTGGGCCACAGCAACGCTAGTAGTAAATAAATAAACAAACAAATAACTAAAATAAAGCCTTGCTATTTAAACAGAAAGGTGCTTAGTTGCAAATGCAAAAGAAAATGAAAACAAGGTGAAAATACTCAGGACAGAGTAATGGATGAGGCATAGGCATGAAACCATCTGTCCAAAAATAAAAAACCCTGGCATCTGTCCCAGTGCGCACAGATAAGGCAAGAACATCTGGCTCCAACACCTTGCGTCTAATTCGGTCTGCTGGGAGGGATGGAGTGGAGATTATCACTAACTAGCCGTCCCCTGCCACACATTGCTGTGGCCCTATGTTGTGATAGAGTCTGCAAGCAATGATAGTAATACTGGTACTATTAAGAGAAGCAGGAAAACTACTCTTCTCCTAATACTACCAGTACTACTATCATTGCTAGCAGACTCTATCACAACACCCTGTCTATGTATATGTGTTTATGTGTGTGTATATATTTATTTATTTATTTATTTACTGTCCTTGTATACCGCCGTTTCTCAGCCTAACTGGCGACTCAACGCGGTTTACAACATATATTTGTGTATATATGTGTGTTTGCGTGTATATATATATATATATATATATATATATATATAGGTATATAGTCGCAGGTTCGATTCCAGGGAGCGGCGTGAGCTTCCGCTGTCAGCCCTAGCTTCTGCCAACCTAGCAGTTCGAAAACATGCAAATGTGAGTAGATCAATAGTTACCGCTCCGGCGGGAAGGTAACAGCGCTCCATGCGGTCATGCCGGCCACGACCTTGGAGGTGTCTACAGACAACGCTGGCTCTTCGGCTTAGAAATGGAGATGAGCACCACACCCCAGAGTCAGACATGACTGGACTTAATGTCAGGGGACTACCTTTACCTTTATGTATATATTTATGCATTTGCGTGTTTATATGTGTACATGCATATTGTGTATTTGTGTGCGCTTGTCTATATGCATATTTGTGTGTATATATGTGTGTATGTATGTGCATGTGTATATGTATATGTGTGTATGTATATGTATGTGTGTGTATATGTGTATATTTGTGTGTGTTTGTGCATATATATATGTGGGTATATATGTGTATGTATATATTTATGTATTTGTGTGTTTATATGTCTACATGCATATTGTGTATATGTGTGCGCTTGTCTATATGCATATTTGTGTGTATATGTGTGTATGTATGTGCATGTGTATATGTATATGTGTGTATGTATATGTATGTGTGTGTATATGTGTATATTTGTGTGTGTTTGTGCATATATATATGTGGGTATATATGTGTATGTATATATTTATGTATTTGTGTGTTTATATGTCTACATGCATATTGTGTATATGTGTGCGCTTGTCTGTATGCATATTTGTGTGTATATGTGTGTATGTATGTGCATGTGTATATGTATATATGTATGTGTTCATGTGTACATGTGTGTATGTATATGTATGTGTATATGTGTGTTTGTGCATATATGCGTATGTGTGAATGTGTGCATGTGTGTGTGTGTGTATATATATATATATGTGTGTGTGTGTGTGTGTGTGTGTGTGTGTATACATATCTGTATATATGGTGTGTTTTGGGGGTTTTAAAGTCTATTCCGCTGGGGTTTTGTGTGTATGTATATATTTATGTATTTATGTGTTTATATGTGTACATGCATATTGTGAATATGTGTGTATATATATGTGTGTGTGTGCATATGTATGTGCATGTGTATGTGCATGTGTATATGTATATATGTATGTGTTCATGTGTACATGTGTGTATGTATATATGTGTGTATATGTGTATATTTGTGTGTGTTTGTGCATATGTGTGTGTGTGTGTGAATGTGTGCATGTGTATATATATATATATATATATATATATATATATATATATGAGTGTATGTATATCTGTATATATGGTGTGTTTTGGGGTTTTAAAGTCTATTCCGCTGGGGTTTTGTGTGTATGTATATATCTATGTATTTATGTGTTTATATGTGTACATGCATATTGTGTATATGCGTGTATATATGTGTGTGTATGTGCATATGTATGTGCATGTGTATATGTATATATGTATGTGTTCATGTGTACATGTGCATATGTATATATATATATGTGTGTGTGTATATGTGTATATTTGTGTGTGTTTGTGCATATATGTGTGTGTGTGTGAATGTGTGCATGCATGTATATATATATATATATATATGTGTGTGTGTGTGTGTGTGTGTGTGTGTGTGTGTATGCATATCTGTATATATGGTATGTTTTGGGGGTTTTAAAGTCTATTCCGCTGGGGTTGTGTGTGTATGTGTGTGTGTGTTTAGGGGTGATGGACACTCGTTGGACTGTTAGCTGTATTGTGTCCAAATTTCGTGTCAATTCGTCCAGTGGTTTTTCAGTTATGTTAATCCCACAAACTAACATTGCATTTTTATTAATATAGATTTTCTTATGAATAGTTAATGAAGTTAATTTTGAAAAATTCTGACGCTCCCAGCTTACCTTTGCTGTATCATCCTGGACAACCGCCATGAAGTTGAGGAAGCTCACGTTGACCATGTCAGGGCCATGAATGACGGTCAAGAGCTTCTCCTCTGGTCGTTGCTCCGGCCCCCCAAAGCCAAGGATCTCCCGGATCTTGAGGTCCTGCAGGGATACAGACCGCTAAGAGTTTGATTAAATTAGCTCAAACGAACAAGTAGTCTTACATAATATAGGCAACTCTCTTGGAAGCAGGACTTCATGCCTTCCATGTGAGTAAAACCCCAAATAGATTCAGCACTGTGAAGCAGAGCTGATTCACTGCCCTACTGTTAAGCTGCTGAGGGGAGAAAGGAAAGGTTGCCATGGAAGACATGAAGTCCTGAGCCACTCCTGACAGGGTGGCCTCCGCATGGACATTGAAGTTCCCCAGGACTATAAACTATTGGGATTCCAATGCCAGGCCTGAGACCACCCCAGATAGCTCAGGTAGGGAGACTGTAGTGCAGCGGGGTGGTCGGTACACTAACCAATCCTCAGGTGGACACTAGGCCTGTCGGTTTTAATTCGTTAATTCGTTATTTCGTTTTAAATTCGTTAATTTTTGCATTTACGGTACGATAACAAAACAATATTTCAAACCCGGAAGGGTTTTAAAATATCGAAACGTCAACTCCAAGAGTATTTACGAGCTTTCGCTCGTTTTGTAAATGGGGCGGACGGGCGGGGCGAAGGGGCGCCGCGAGCGCGCACCCAGTGAGCCAAGCCCCGCCCCTGCCTCTCTCTCTCGCGTTCCCTCCTTCCTCCCGCTTCTTTCCTTCCTTCTCTCTCTCTCTCTTCCCCCTTTCTCTCTCACACACTCCCTCGTTTCCCCCCTCTAAATGGGGCGGACGGGCGGGGCGAAGGGGCGCCGCGAGCGCGCACCCAGTGAGCCAAGCCCCGCCCCTGCCTCTCTCTCTCGCGTTCCCTCCTTCCTCCCGCTTCTTTCCTTCCTTCTCTCTCTCTCTCTTTCCCCCTTTCTCTCTCACACACTCCCTCGTTTCCCCTCTTTCTCTCTCTCTTTCGCGTCCCTCCTTCCTCCCCCTTCTCTCTTTCACTCCATCCTTCTCTCTCACTCCCTCCCTCTTTCTCTCTCACACACTCCCTCCTTTCCCCCTCTCTCTCTCTCGCGTTCCCTCTTTCTCTCCCTTCCCTCCCTCCCTTTCTCTCTTCTTTCTTCCTTCCTTCCTTCCTTCCTTCCTTCCTTCCTTCCTTCCTTCCTTCTTTCCTTCCTCTTCTCTCTCTCTTTCCCCCTTTCTCTCTCACACACTCCCTCCTTTCCCCTCTTTCTCTCTCTCTTTCGCGTCCCTCCTTCCTCCCCCTTCTCTCTTTCCTCCATCCTTCTCTCTCACTCCCTCCCTCTTTCTCTCTCTCTCACACACTCCCCCTTTCCCCTCTTTCTATCTCTCTTTCTCGCGTTCCCCCTTTCTCTCCTCCCTCTCCCTCTCTCTCTGTCTCCTTCCCTCCTTCTCTCTTTCTCTCGTCTCTGCCTAGCCTCACTCCCACCTTTCTTCTCTCTTCCTTCCTTCCTTCCTTCTCTTTCTCTCCCGGAGGGCGCAGGAGCCGGGCCCCCGGAGGCGGAGCGCAGGAGCTGCATCCAGGCTTGCTGTGAGTTTTCTGGGCTGTATGACCATGTTCCAGAAGCATTCTCTCCTGACATTTTGCCCACATCTATGGCAGGCATCCTCAGAGGTCTGTTGGAAACTACTGGCAAATGGAGTTTGGACAGCTTGATTGGGATTAAATGGCCTTGTAGCTTCAAAGTCTGGCTCCTTCCTGCTCAGGGGAATCCTTTGTTGGGAGGTGTTAGCTGGGTCTGACTCAAACCCGCTATGTCTGTATAGTAGGCCTGTGCGGTTTCGTTTTCCATTTTAAAATATTTTTTAATATTATTTTTAATATTATTTTTAATATTATTTTTTAATATTATTTTAATATTATTCCTGCTCAGGGGAATCCTTTGTTGGGAGGTGTTAGCTGGGTCTGACTCAAACCCGCTATGTCTGTATAGTAGGCCTGTGCGGTTTCGTTTTCCATTTTAAAATATTTTTTAATATTATTTTTAATATTTTTTAATATTATTTTTAATATTATTTTTTAATATTATTTTAATATTATTCCTGCTTAGGGGAAAAATATTCTAAAAATTCGTTAATAATTACAAAATTTCGTAAATACCAAAACTTTTTTTGGAAAGTTTTGTAATTATTTTAAATATCGAAACAAAAAAACACCCCAATTACAAAACGATTTTAGAAACAAATTTTTTCTTGATCAAACAGGCCTAGTGGACACACTCATGGTTGGCTGTGGGATGGGGCACCTGACCAAGGAGATAGAATCCCTATAGACCACTGCTACCCCACCTCCCCGCCCTCCAGATCTCGGCTGGTGCTTTACCGAGTATCCTGGTGGACAAAGCTGGGAGAGATTAACCACCAGCACCCCCAGCTTTCTCCAACCAGGTCTCGGTTATACATGCCAAGACTCACTGCTGAGCCTGGAACCCCAGGTCTCGGCAGTGGCCGGGAGAACTTTTGCACAATTAAAACTCGTGCCCCAGCTGTGCCCATACCTTGGGAAGTCTTATCTGGCCACGGTGGTCCACGCTCTTGTTACATCCCGAATAGACTACTGCAATGCACTCTACGTGGGGCTGCCTTTGGAGACTGCCCGGAAAATTCAATTAGTCCAACGGTCGGCAGCCAGGCTGCTCACTGGAGCGGCGTACAGGGAGCATACAACGCCTCTGTTACACCAACTCCACTGGCTGCCAATCAGCTTCCGAGCACAATTCAAAGTGCTGGTTTTAACCTTTAAAGCCCTAAACGGTTCTGGCCCAGACTGTTGTTTACCATCCCGCCAGGAAAAGGGGCATCACCTTGGGCAGCTTGGCATATCGTCCTGTTCGAGTGTCCCGAATAGTGCTGATATCCAGAATGTCCACTTCCTGAAAGGGAAAAAAAGAAAGAAAAATCTTTGTTTAGATCTCATTATCAACATATTTTCAGTGGGTGCTTGTATGAAGAACGACGTTTTAATTAGGCTAGATAATGAGGTCGCGCTCTCTCTCCTCCATGGCAAGGAATTATTAATTTCCACCAGTTGCCATATTTCATAGAATAGGCAGCAGCTTACTTTGGCATACTTACTGAGGTGATCCCTCATTGTCCGAGTATGATGGCCTTCCAAGTGTAGTGTCTTGGCAGTGGATACGTAGGTGACTCTGGAGCCCTATTCTTGATCTGCATGTTCTTCCACAGTGAAGACATCGGTTTCAAGTTCAGGGTTGGTTTGATGCACTTTCCTCTTGGCACGTTTCTCCCTTACACCCTCCAATGATGTCTCTTCGAATTCCGCAGCACTGCTGGTCACAGCTGACCTCCAGTTAGAGCGCTCAAGGGCCAGGGCTTCCCAGTTCTTGGTTCTATGTCACAGTTTTTAAGGTTAGCTTTAAGCCCATCTTTCAATCTCTTTTCCTGTCCACCAAAGTTACATTTTCTGTTCTTGAGTTGGAAGTAGAGTCGCTGCTTTGGGAAACGGTGATCTTTGGGTATTCGGACAACATGGCATTCAGTCAAGCGGAGTTGGTGGCGTAGGAGTATCGCTTCAATGCTGGTAGTCCTTGCTTCTTCTTCCAGCATGCTGACATTTATCTGCCTGTCCTCCCAAGAGATTTGCAAGATTTTTGGAGGCAATGCTGATAGATTCGTTCCAGGAGTTGCATGTGACGTCCATAGACAGTTCACATTTTGCAGGCGTATAACACGGTTGGGAGGACAATAGTTTTATAAACAAGCTATTGTCCTTAAACACTCTCTGCTTTATTCAGAAAAATGCTGCACTTGCAGAGCTGAGGCGGTGTTGTATTTCAGTGTCAATGCTGACTTTTCTGGAGAGGTGGTTACCAATGGTCAACGTTTACTAACGTTACATAATTAAGCTGTATTTCTGGCACTGAAGAGGGACTGGCTGGTGACTGCTGGAAGAGCACTTGGGTTTTCTCAAAGTTCAATGAGAGACCGAGCTTCTCATATGTTTCTTTAAAGAGTGGCTTGTAGGTCTTCTTCTGAATGTGCACAGATGACGTTATCATCAGCATATTGGAGTTCTATAACAGATGTTGTGACCTTGGTTTTGGCTTTCAGTCTGCTGAGGTTAAATAGCTTACCATCTGTCCGATAGATGATTTCCACTCCGGTAGGAAGATGAAGTATAATAGCGATGAAGATGGAAAATAAGGTTGGGGCAATAACACATTCCTGTTTGACACCTGATTCCACCTTAAATTGGTCACTTTGGGAGCCATTGCTGTCCAAGGCTGGTCTTCTTCTGAATGTGCACAGACTACGTTATCATCAGTATATTGGAGTTCTATAACAGATGTTGTGACCTTGGTTTTGGCTTGTCATCTGTCCAATAGATGATTTCCACTCCGGTGGGAAGCTTCCCGTCAACAAGGTGAAGTATCATGGCGATGAAGATGGAAAATAAGGTTGGGGCAATAACACATTCCTGTTTGACACCTGATTCCACCTTAAATTGGTCACTTTGGGAGCCATTGCTGTCCAAGGCTGGTCTTCTTCTGAATGTGCACAGACTACGTTATCATCAGTATATTGGAGTTCTATAACAGATGTTGTGACCTTGGTTTTGGCTTGTCATCTGTCCAATAGATGATTTCCACTCCGGTGGGAAGCTTCCCGTCAGTAAGATGAAGTATCATGGCGATGAAGATGGAAAATAAGGTTGGGGCAATAACACATTCCTAGTTTAGCACTTGATTTCCCCTTGAATCGGTCACTTTGGGAGCCATTACTGTCTAAGATTGGTCTTCTGAATGTGCACACACTACATTATCATCAGTATATTGGAGTTCTATAACAGATGTTGTGACCTTGGTTTTGGCTTTCAGTCTGCTGAGGTAAAATAGCTTACCATGATTGTGCAAAGACCCTCCCAGCCACCGCCAACACCTGCGCATTAAGCGTACAAACCCCACCCCTCCATTAACCAAGTCCTGCCCCAGCAGAAGGATGCCCCGGGTGGATGAATACAGGCCTACACAGGGCAGCCAAACAGGCACCCCTCCAGGAAAGAATGTGCATGTGGACAATATCTTCGCCCCGTCCCAACCAAATCCTGCCTTAGCAGAAGGAGCCAAGTCCTTATTTATTAATTTATTATTTATTTACCTTGCTTATATACCGCTGTTCTCAGCCCGAAGGCGACTCACAGCGGTTCACAACAAGAGACAGCAAAATTCAATGTTACAGTATAAAAGCAGTTATCAACTTAATGCAGTTGCACAATTAATAAACAATAAACAATTAACAATTACTACAATAGCCATTCACTATCGTCTCATCATCAAAAACATGATCCAGATTCGTCATCCATTGATCCATTCCAGTGTTCATTAACCAATCATTGCACTCATTATTCGAACGCTTGCTCGAATAGCCAGGTCTTCACTTTTTTGCGGAATACCATTAGAGATGGTGCTAGTCTAATGTCGGTAGGAAGGGCATTCCACAGCCGAGGAGCCACCACCGAGAAGGCCCTATCTCTCGTCCCCGCCAGACGTGCTTGAGAAGCAGGCGGGATCGAGAGCAGGGTCTCCCTGGAAGATCTCAAAGTCCTGGTGGGTTCATAGGCAGAGATGCGGTCGGATAGGTAGCTTGGGCTGGATAGGTAGCTTGGGCTTTAAAGGCTAACGCCAGCACTTTGAATTGAGCCCGGTAGCAAATCGGTAGCCAGTGGAGTTGGCGCAACAGGGGGGTTGTATGCTCCTTGCGCTCCGCTCCTGTTAGAATCATGGCTGCCGAGCGTTGGACTAATTGAAGCTTCCGAGCCGTCTTTAAAGGCAACCCCACGTAGAGAGCGTTGCAGTAGTCTAAACGGGATGTAACCAGAGCGTGGACTACCGTGGCCAAGTCAGACTTCCCAAGGTACGGGCGCAGCTGGCACAAAAGCTTTAGCTGTGCAAATGCTCCCCTGGTCACCGCCGAAACCTGGCGTTCCAGGCTCAGCGATGAGTCCAGGGTCACACCCAAGCTGCGAACCTGCGTCTTCAGGGGGAGTGTGACCCCATCCAGCACAGGCTGTAACCCTATGCCCTGTTCGGCCTTGCGACTGACCAGGAGTACCTCTGTCTTGTCTGGATTCAATTTCAATTTGTTCGCCCTCATCCAGACCGTCACAGCGGCCAAGCACCGGTTCAGGACCTGGACAGCCTCCTTAGTAGCAGGTGGAAGTCCTTCCCCAGCAGAAGGAACCCCAGGACTATGTGGTGGGGTGCCTCTTAGGCTGGCTGGCCAACGTTGGCCAGCGTTCCAACCCCATCCCGCCATTAACCAACTCCTGCACTAGCAGAAGAAACCAAGTACTGCCCTGGCAGAAGGACCCAAGTCCTGCACCGGCACAAAGACCCAACTCCTGCCCAAGCAGAATGAACCCCTGGGTGGAGGAATACAGGCGTACGCAGGGCAGCCAAACAGGCACCCCTCCAGGAGAGTAAACATGTCACAACAAAATGAATGGGGACTTCCGGGTGGAGGCAAGATGGCGGCAGCCACGGACAGCTGAAGCGCTCGGGTTCCAGCTTGTCCACCTATCCCCCACAAGGGACAGAGTCGAAGGGACAGAGTCCGATTTCCACTCCAGTGGGATGCTTCCCATCAACAAGATGAAGTATCATAGCAATGAAAATGGAAAATAAGTTTGGGGCAACAACACATCCCTGTTTGGCACCTGATTTCACCTTGAATGGGTCACTTTGGGAGCCATTGCTGTCTGAGACTGGTCTTCTTCTGAATGTGCACAGACTACATTATCATCAGCATACTGGAGTTCTATAACAGATGTTGTGATCTTGGTTTTGGCTTTCAGTCTGCTGAGGTTATATAGGTTAATTATGCCATATTTCCATTATGGCATAATTAAAGAGGAAAACATGACAAACAACAGCACGCCTTTCTATCTATTATATTTCACTCAAGGCCATCCATTAACACGACTTCCTCCTTCCAACACAAAAGCCATAACGTTACATCTGCCTGTAATGGCTGTACATTTCCATTTTCCCATATGGTTTTTTGTTGTTGTTTAATTACTGCTGATGGTTCATGGCTTATTCCCAGTGCAAAAACGTTATATACTCAAGGCAGGAATTGACACGGAAGGGGCTTTTAGACCTCCTTCTTGAAATGCCCTTTCAAAACAGCAACAGAAAGACATTGCTAGAACTTCAGCCTTTTCTACTACTCCTCTACTACAACATCTGACAGAATTGCGGAATCATAACAAAGGATTGGGGACTCATAGTAAAGCATTGGAGGCCCACATACAATTCCAAACCTAAACTGTGGTCCATCTTAACCAGAGCCAGAGTCAAATTCATAATCTAGGATTAGCATTTGGATTACTTTGCCAAATTAATAGGAGGAGAAGTAATTGATCTAAAATTGAAACACCGCATTCACACCTAATGAAACCAATTCTGGGCACCACAATTGAAGAGAGATAGTGACAAGCTGGAATGTGTCCAGGGGAGGGCGACTAAAATAATCAAGGGTCTGGAGAACAAGCCCTATGAGGAGCGGCTAAAAGAGCTGGGCATGTTTAGCCTGAAGAAGAGAAGGCTGAGACACAATCTAGACGCATAATAAAAGCGAAAATATGTAACAATATATAATAATAATGCAATGTTATACAATAATCTATATAAATAAAAATGTAATGTTCATTTGTGGGATTAACAGAACTCAAAAACCACTGGACAAATTGACACCAAATCTATGTCTTTCACTCAAAAAACTGATTTTGTCATTTGGGAGTTGTAGTTGCTGGGATTTATAGTTCACCTACAATCAAAGAGCATTCTGAACTCAACCAATGACGGAATTGAATCAAACCTGGCACACAGTTCTCCCATGACCACCAGAGAATACTGGAAAGGTTTGGTGGGCAGTAGTTCACCTACATCCAGAGATCATTGTGGACTCAAACAATGATGGATCTGAACCAAACTCTACAGGAATACTCAATATGCCCAAATTTGAACACTGGTGGAGTTTGGGGAAAATAGAATCTTGACATTTGGGAGTTGTAGTTGCTGGGATTTATAGTTCACCTAGAATCACAGAGCATTCTGAACCCCACCAACGATAGAATTGGGCCAAACCTCCCACACAGAACCCCCATGACCACCAAAGTGGGCCACAGCAACGCGTGGCAGGGGACGGCTAGTAACAATATATAATACAACAATAACAATCTATGTAAATAAAAATGTAATGTTTGTTTGTGGGATTAACAGAACTCAAAAACCACTGGGCGAATTGCCACCAATTTTGGCCACAAGACACCTACTAACCCAAGGAGTGACAGTCACTCAAAAAAAAAAATGATTTTGTCATTTGGGAGTTGTATTTGCTGGGATTTATAGTTTACCTACAATCAAAGAGTATTCTGAACTCCATCAACGATGGAATTGAGCCAAACATGGTACATAGGACTCCCATGACCAACATGGGCATTAATGGGCATTGACCTTGAGTATGGAAGTTGTAGTTCACCTACATCCAGAGAGCACTGTGGACTCAAACAATGATGAATCTGGACCAAACTCGACACGAATACTCAATAAGCGCAAATGTGAACACTGGTGGAGTTTGGGGAAAATAGAATCTTGACATTTGGGAGTTGTAGTTGCTGGGATGTATAGTTTGCCTACAGTCCAAGAGCATTCTGAACCCCACCAACGATAGAATTGAACCAAACTTGGCACACAGTTCTCCCATGACCAACCGAAAATACTGGAAGGGTTTGGTAGCCATTGACCTTGACTTTTGGAGTTGTAGTTCACCTACATCCAGAGAGCACTGTGGACTCAAACAATGATGGATCTGGACCAAACTCGACACGAATACTCAATAAGCGCAAATGTGAACACTGGTGGAGGTTGGGAACAACAGACCTTGACATTTGGGAGTTGTAGTTGCTGGGATGTATAGTTTGCCTACAATCCAAGAGCATTCTGAACCCCATCAACAATAGAATTGGGCCAAACTTCCCACACAGAGACCCCCATGACCAACAAAAAATATTGATGGTCTTTGGCGACCCCTCTGACACCCCCGCACGACCCCCCCAGGGGTCTCGACCCCCAGGTTGAGAAACACTGGCCATCCAGACTGCTCAGCTTTGCTACCACGACCTTACCTGCCTTTCCTGAAATTCTGGCCAGACTCGACTCTTTTCCCCTTCGTTCTCTTCAGCGATTTAGGAAGGAACGGGGAAAGAGGAGCAGCTTGAGCTGTATATACAACGGAGCCACTTAAGCTAACTGTTTTGCTCTGGATGTGGGCCAAATGCAAAAGACACTTAACCACATGGAAATTGTGTGGTAGCAAAAGGGGAGAGATGGGATTTCCCTCCAAACCAAAAAGGAAATTGCAGTTTTGGACACAGAGGTGGAGAAGAGAAGGAAGAAACACAACGGAGAGGATGGCCAACGAATGGGGGAGGCGTTCGCTTCAGTTCTGAGAACTCCTCGGCAAACAACACATCCTTGAAAGGTGGAGCACTGTCGTTCTTGCACACATAACACGCGAGGAAAATACATAACATTCCACTACTGCAAGAGACAAACCAAGTGGACTACAACGCCACCTAGAACGTGACAAAGTGAGCATAGAAACAGCTATGTGCATACTATGTGCATACTCGAAGGCCTTGCCAGAGCTGGGAAGAGTTGCCTATCGCACTACAACTCCCAGAACTCTCGTCCAGCTATGGGGTGTCTTGGAATTGTAGCCTAAAAGCCATAGTGCTGGAAGAAATCACAAGGGCCGTCCAATCCAACTCCATTCTGCCCAGCAGGAACATACAATCAAAGCACTTCCACTGCTTAAGAGTAGTCATGAGCAATCCATGGTTCTAAGTTCTAAATGGTTCTAAATAATAATAATAATAACAACAACAACAACAACAGCAACAATAATAAAGTAGGTACAAAACTAGGAGGCGGTGGTGCTTTGCTTCTAAAGTGTTGCTAAAGCTGTTTTTTTTTTTTTGCTTCTAAAGTGTTTCTAAAGTTCTGGTGGTGAAAATTTCAGAACTCTAACAAATAATAATAATAATAATAATAATAATAATAATAATAATAATAATTTTAATAATAATGTAGGTATAAAACTAGGAGGCGGTGGTGCCTTGCTTCTAAAGTGTTTCTAAAGTTCTGGTGGTCAAAATTTCAGAACTCTAACAAATAATAATAATAATAATAATAACAACAAAGTAGGTACAAAACTAGGAGGCGGTGGTGCTTTGCTTCTAAAGTGTTGCTAAAGCTGGTTTTTTGCTTCTAAAGTGTTTCTAAAGTTCTGGTGGTGAAAATTTCAGAACTCTAACAGATAATAATAATAATAATAATAATAATAATAATAATAATAATAAAGTAGGTACAAAACTAGGAGGCGGTGGTGCTTTGCTTCTAAAGTGTTGCTAAAGCTGTTTTTGTGCTTCTAAAGTGTTTCTAAAGTTCTGGTGGTGAAAATTTCAGAACTCTAACAAATAATAATAATAATAAAGTAGGTACAAAACTAGGAGGCGGTGATGCTTTGCTTCTAAAGTGTTGCTAAAGCTGGTTTTTTGCTTCTGTAGTGTTTCTAAAGTTCTGGTGGTGAAAATTCCAGAACTCTAACAATTAATAATAATAATAAAGTAGGTACAGAACTAGGAGGCGGGGGTGCTTTGCTTCTAAATTGTTGCTAAAGCTGGTTTTTTGCTTCTAAAGTGTTTCTAAAGTTCTGGTGGTGAAAATTTCAGAACTTTAACAAATAATAATAATAATAATAATAAAGTAGGTACAAAACTAGGAGGCAGTGGTGCTTTGCTTCTAAAGTGTTGCTAAAGCTGGTTTTTTGCTTCTAAAGTGTTTCTAAAGTTCGGGTGGTGAAAATTTCAGAACTCTAACAAATAATAATAATAATAAAGTAGGTACAAAACTAGGAGGTGGTGATGCTTTGCTTCTAAAGTGTTGCTAAAGCTGTTTTTTGCTTCTAAAGTGTTTCTAAAGTTCTGGTGGTGAAAATTTCAGAACTCTAACAAAACTTGCAAAATTTTATTATTATTTCGTTATTGGCAATTTTTATGACAGAACCGATTAGGAACTACCATTTATACTGAAATTTTGAGAGTTTTGTTAGAGTTCTGAAATTTTCACCACCATGAGGTCTCTTCCGACTCTAGGATTCTATGAAGGGAAACCTCTTTGGCCCTGAGAAGATGGAAAAGGCTGTGTTTATCTCGAGCTCTTTGTTTTTATTTTGCTAAGCCATGGCCGGCCTCTTGCTGCGCCCGCCCTTCTCCTTCCCAGCTCTCTTTGGCTCCGGCCCCAGAATTCTTGCCAAACCAGCTCCGCGACTCAAGGCATTGACAAGAGCGGGGAATGAACCACCCAAGCCTGCTGTGTATCGCTTATTTCCCCGAGGGCGGGCAGGCGGGAGAAGCAAGAGAAGGCTTTGCAAGCCTAAAAGGCATGTCCCAGCAAAGCAAACGCTTTGTCTGTCCAACTTTGCAAGGGAATGGAAGTGTCTTTGCACCATACATGCACGAACGAACGTGCCACTGGCCTCTGAGATAATGGAGAGGTTGCAACGCACCCAAGGCTTTTCCGGGCTTGGTCATCCCTTGCGAAAGATAAGCAGCCCACTTTATTCTAAATATGTATATAAATAAACACAGTTGGGAAAGGGATGGGAGAGAGAAAGAGAGACAGTCTGACTGCTGAAGGCAACACACACTTACCATACTGGGACCGGTCCAGTACAGGAAAAAGCCCTGAGGGTCAACTCGGAGGGTCACCAGAGCCCGGCATGTGGGTTCCTAGGACGAGAGGAGAAAACAGAACGAGTCAACACTCTTCTGCCAAAATTCAAATACATATTTCCTCAAGTTGTGGTTTCCCATTCAACGACAGGAAAAGTCAACTGTCCCTTTTCTGGGTTGCTGCTGTGAGTTTTCCAAGCTGTCTGGCCAAGTTCCAGAAGCATTCTCTCCTGACATTTCGCCCACATCTATGTCAAGCATCCTCAGAGGTTGTGAGGTCTGTTGGAAACTCGACAAGTGGAGTGGAGTGTCCAGGGTGGGAGAAAGAACTCTTGCCTGTTGGATGCAAGTGTGAATATTGCAATTGGCCACCTTCATGAAGTCCTTTGGCCACATCATGAGAAGACAGGAAAGCCTAGAGAAGGCAATTATGCTGGGGAAAGTGGAAGGCAAAAGGAAGAGGGGCCGATCAAGGGCAAGATGGATGGATGGCATCCTTGAAGTGACTGGACTGACCTTGAAGGAGCTGGGGGTGGTGACGGCCGACAGGGAGCTCTGGCGTGGGCTGGTCCATGAGGTCACGAAGAGTAGAAGACGACTGAACGAATGAACAACAACAACATGGCCTTGCAGCTTCAAAGCCTCACTGCTTCCTTTCTGGGGGGGGGGGGTCCTACAACAACCCAATACAATCATAGAATGATAGAGTTGGAAGGGATCCCAAGGGCCATGCAGTCCAACCCCATTCTGCCAGGACACCAGCAAAGCGCCCTCGACAGATGGCCATCCCGCCTCTGATTAAAATCTCCAGAGAAGGAGATTTTTTCCCTGTCTTTCATAGTATAAAGCAGAGGCGGCCCTAGGTAATTTTCAATGGTAAGCAAACAGTATTTTGGCAACCCCCCCCCCCCCAACCAATTATTGATATATATTTTCTGTTTGTCGTGGGAGTTCTGTGTGCCATATTTGGTTCAATTCCATCATTGGTGGAGTTCAGAATGCTCTTTGATTGTAGGTGAACTATACATCCCAGTAACTACAACTCGCATATGTCAAGAGCGCCTCAAGAGTGCCCCTGGGCACAATCAACTATACTGCAAATGCTTACTTTGTGTAATAGGCTCCCCCCGGACTGCTAGGGCTGTTGTGAGCCGAGGGGGCGCTCCTCAAGTGGTGGTCGATGGGCATTTACAGAGGCGCCTCTGCGCCCCTGGCAAAAAAATAAGTGTACTGCGACCGCTTACTTTGCGTAATGGATGAGCCGCCCCTGGTATAAGGTCTATCTATATCTATATAAATATAAATGTAATGTTCGTTTGTGGGATTAACAGAACTCAAAAACCACTGGACAAATTGACCCCAAATTTGGACACAAGACACCTAACAACCCAATGTACGCCCTTCACTAAAAAAAATTGATTTTGTCATTTGGGAGTTGTAGTTGCTGGGATTTATAGTTCACCTAAAATCAAAGAGCATTCTGAACCCCACCAATGATGGAATTGATGGAATCTATTCTGCTTTGGTTAGACCACACCTGGAATATTGTGTCCAATTCTGGGCACCACAATTCAAGAGAGATATTGACAACCTGGAATGTGTCCAGAGGAGGGCGACTCAAATGATCAAGGGGCTGGAGAACAAGCCCTATGAGTGGCTTAAGGAGCTGAACATGTTTAGCCTGAAGAAGAGAAGGCTGAGAGGAGATATGATAGCCATGTATAAATATGTGAGAGGAAGCCACAGGGAGGAGGGAGCAAGCTTGTTTTCTGCTTCCTTGGAGACTAGGACACGGAACAATGGCTTCAAACTACAAGAGAGGAGATTCCATCTGAACATGAGGAAGAACTTCCTGACTGTGAGAGCCGTTCAGCAGTGGAACTCTCTGCCTAGGAGTGTGGTGGAGGCTTCTTCTTTGGAAGCTTTTAAACAGGGGCTGGATGGCCATCTGTCAGGGGTGATTTGAATGCAATATTCCTGCTTCTTGGCAGAATGGGGTTGGACTGGATGGCCCATGAGGTCTCTTCCAACTCTTTGCTTCTATGAGTCTATGATTCTATGAACCAAACTTGGCACACTTGGCAGGGGACGGCTAATTACTATGTAAAACCTATATAAAAACTGTTAAAACATATAATCATCGGTGTCATCCTGTTAAAAACATTATCCAGTAACATCGTCTGGTCATTCCATGTTCATCATTCATAGTTCCGTGTTATCTATTCCACTCCATTCTCAAAAGCTTGCTCAAAAAGCCAGGTCTTTACTTTTTTTTCAGAAAGTAAGGAGAGAGGGGAGCGATCTAATATCCCTATTGAGGGAGTTCCATAGCCAGGGGGCCACCACTGAGAAGGCCCTGTCTTTCGTCTCTGCTAATCGCACTTGCGAGGCAGGCGGGATCAAGAGCAGGGCCTCCCCAGACAATCTTAAGCTCCTAGATCAGTAGTTCTCAACCTTCCTCATGCCGCGACCCCTTAATACAGTTCCTCATGTGGTGGTGACCCCCAACCATAAAATTACTTTCGTTGCTACTTCATAACTGTTATTTTGCTATTGTTATGAATCGTAATGTAAATATCTGATATGCAGGATGTATTTTCATTCACTGGATCAGTCTGGGCACAAATACCCGATACACCCAAATCTGAATACTGGTGGGAGTTGTAGTTTCTGGGATTTATAGTTCAGCTACAATGAACTATAGTCCACCAATGATGGAATTGAACCAAATATGGCACACAGAACTCCCACGACGAACAGAAAATATATATCAGTGATTGGTTGGGGGGGGGGGGGGGGCAAAATACTGTTTGCTCCAGATATCTGCAAATTGTATTTGTGTGTGTGTGTGTTGACCAGTACATATGCCACTTGGGCAGAATAAGAGACTCAAAAGAAACAGAGCTGAACCAAACCCAAGGCCCCTTCAGCCCTACTTTCGTTTCCCACAGCCCCAGAAGGAAGCCAAAGAGACACAACCACAATAAACATCCTGGCAACTGCTACACAAAGGCATTCCTCCCAGTATTGCGGGTAACGGGTAACGTTACCATCACGATGGATAGCCATTGGATGCCTCATCCACCACAAATGAGCCTAATCATGTTTTATTATGCGATAGGCACCTGGCTTGAAAGAGTCTTCGCAGACTACAAACCGAATATGAGTCAACAATGTGATGCTGCAGCCAAAAGTTTCTCACCATCCTATCCTTCCCTCCTTCTCCCTTTCCTTCTCCTTCCCTTCCATCCCTCCTCTCTTTCCTTCCTTCCTTCCTTCCTCCTTCCCTTCCTCTTTTTCCCTCCCGCCTCTCATTCCACCCTTTTGTCCTTCCTTCCCTCTCTACCTCTTCCTCCTTCCTTCCTTCCCTTGTGTCTTTCCTTCCTTCTCCCTTTTTTCCACATACGTTGCTTAAGTCGCATTGACTGGCTGTCTGCGCAGGGTTCCATACTCCGCACTTTAACAACACAAGCGTTCAATGCTAAGGCTTCCTACCAAGATGGAACTGTAGAGTCTACTGAACAAGCCAGTACCTGCCACATACATTGCTTAAGTTGCATTAAGTCGCATTGACTTTAACAACACAAGCGTTCAATGCTAAGACTTCCTGCCAAAATGGAACTGTAGAGGAGAGTCTACTGAATAAGCCAATACGTGCCGCATACGTTGCTTAAGTCACATTGACCGATTGTCTGCGCAGGGTTCCATATTTCACATTTTAACAACACAACCGTTCAATGCTAAGGCTTCCTACCAAGATGGAACTGTAGAGGAGAGTCTACTGAACAAGCCAGTACCTGCCGCATACATTGCTTAAGTCGCATTGACCGACCGTCTGCGCAGGGTTCCATACTCCGCACTTTAACAACACAACCGTTCAAAGCTAAGGCTTCCCGCCAAAATGGAACTGTAGAGGAGAGTCTACTGAACAAGCCAGTATCTGCCGCATACCATTACTGCTGTCTGTTGAGGAGTTACAAAGGTGGAGGCATTACTTTTCATTCAACCCTCATATGTTTTCTATAGGGATTTCTAGGTCCCCCAGGAGAAGCTGACCACACAGTCATGTTGAACGACGTAGAGAGTTTCTAGAGAGAACATTTTGCAAACAATGAGATTCAATGCTAAGGCTTCCCGCCAAAATGGAACTGTAGAGGAGAGTCTACTGAACAAGCCAGTACCTGCCGCATACATTGCTTAATGTATGCGGCAGGTACAATGCGGCCGGTTTCCCTCCTCAAGAACCTACCTGGCGAGGCCCTGATCGACCGACCAGCTCGTCGACCCGCCTGTGCTCCGATCCCGGTGCTGCGGTTCCAGCTGATTGGGCTCTCCCGCGGCGTTGCCGCCTGGGCTGCTGCCGAGGCCGCTGCTGTACGCGCCGCGGTTGCCGCGGTCGCCATCTTGGAAGGAGAGGCAGCCGGGAGGCCGAGAGGAGGCGGACTGCTGCAATCGCGGTCGCCTTTGCCAAGGCGGACCGCCACCGCCACCAAGAGTCGTCCCATTCCCCCTGCGGAGTGCTGGGGAGGAGCGAGTCGGTGTCGGGGCCGACTGTTGCCGACTGTGGCCGCAACTGTTGCCGACTGTTGCCGCGAGGTGGGGCCTTTTGCAGCAACCGGCGCCGAGGCAGCCGCCGCGAGCGCCGCGAACGCTGCTCAGCTGGGCCTCCACTGCGGGGCCTGCGCCAGGCGGACCGCGGCGCCGCGAGGGCTGCTAGAACCGGGCCCGGGCCGCCTGGGCCTTTACTACCCTTACCATCCTTATCACCCTTGCCATCTGGGCCTTTTCGGGGCCTTTCGGTCCACTAACGAGGTTCCTCCCCTCCGTGGAGTGCTGGGGAGCGAGTTGGGGCCTATTGCTGTGGCCGAAGCCGCCGCCGCCGCGAACGCCGCGAGTGCTGCTCCAGCTAGGCCTTTGCCATCTCAGCCTCACCAAGCAGGCCGCTGCGCCGTGAGCGCCGCTCCGACTGGGCCCTTACCATCTGGACCTTTACCATCTGGCCTGTACAAGACGCCTCGCCGCCAGGCCTAACATCGCCGCTCCTTACCATCTGGGCC